AGACATGTTCCAGAGTTTCTCCTGTGAAGCAGCAGCAGCAGATTGTCCGACTCGTTCACAACAACAGGAACACGTGGTTCAGTTAATGTCTGAAAGCAGCAAGAGACAATTGTGTTTTTTCCTTTATATGTTAAATATAATTTATTCGTACACACTCTGTCTGTGTCTCAGTGTATCGTGTGATAAAGAACCAGCCTCCTCCGATTCTCTCCATCGAGTTGGACCACAACCCGTTCAAGTGTCCGTCATCAGGCTGCACCAAGTCATTCAGGAAGGCGAGTCTGCTGCACTACCACATCAAGTACTACCACTCTGACCAGCAGCTGGACGAGGCAGGCAGCGAGCAGGAGGCACCGAGGTATGTCTCTCACACACACACACACACACACACACACACACAGTAACACACACACACACACACACACACACACACACACACACACACACAGAAACACACACACACACACACACACACACACACACACACACACACACAGTAACACAGTAACACACAGTTAGCAGGAGGTACAGTTGTGTTGGGTTGTTGTAGGAGGAAGCGGTTGTCTTCTGAGGGAGTGGACTCTGCGTCAGACAGGAAGAACGAGAACCAGAATATCGTTTGTCACCGTGACGACACAGAGCACGGCACCATTGGAACAGGTAGGACAGGAGCACGTGTACATTCTGAAGTCTGTTTTTGTGTAGCTCAGTTTTCACTCAGCATCATGCCTGTCTGTGAGCAGAGGTGAAGAACGACGGTGGGCGAGAGAAAAGTGGAGGACAGAGCAAGAAGGAGAGGAAGAACTTCCTGAGGGTCAAACTAAAGAAGAAGAAAAAGAAGAAGAAGAAGAAGAAAAGTCAGTCAGGTGAGTCATTTTATTAATTCACCTTATTCACACACCGGCCATTTTTCCTCTGACGTCACCCCCAGGGTACAAAGAGTGTTAGAACAGCTGTTCTTCTGTTGTCGTCAGGTCTCGGCAGCAGTGACGACGAGAACTCGGACCGACCTCCAATCACTCTGAAGCTGTCCACCGGACAAACCGAGACGATCACACCAGGTAGGGACATTCACACACATCACAGACACTGTGCAGTGGTTCTTATTTATGGGAACAATATGTAAACCGACGTTGGCCCGTCACTCTCCTCCGTCCGTCTCCCTGTTCAGTCGACGAGGGCAGCGACTGGTCCACGCTAACGGCAGAGAGCGGCGAGGACACGCCCTCTTGGCCTGTTGCTATGGAGACAGACGAGTGCGAGGTGGTGAGGTGTGTTTGCGAGGTGGACGAGGAGAACGACTTCATGATCCAGGTAACGCACACACTATGATTTCCTTCACTGAAGGAACATGTTTTCTGTGGTCACGTGATTCTTGGCGTCTCTCCGCAGTGTGAGTCGTGTCTGTGTTGGCAGCATGGAACCTGTATGGGCTTATATGAAGACAACGTACCACACAACTACATCTGCTACTACTGCAGACACACTGCAGGTATGATTCACTGTGTGTGTGTGTGTGTGTGTCAGGGTGCTGTGAGGATTTGTGGTGGGGGGGCGTCACTTTTAGCTTCTGTCATGTCGTCCATCTTTGTTTACAGTCCTCACTCATCCTGTTTTTGTTTTTAGGCTGGAGGCGGGCCCAACGGTTCCTGTCAGAGCCTGATTTGCTGATATCTGGTCACATGTTCGGTCTGTCGTGTGTGAAGGAGAACTACTCGGAGATCAACGCCTCCAAGATCACGCACACCGGCCACCTGCTGGCGCACACGCACGGCCTCAATCAGGTCCTCAGTGGGCTGCAGCTGAAAATCAGCCTGTTACAGTAAGTTCACTGTCGTCAGTGACTCGTTAAGTTGACGCAGACTCTCGTGTCCTCAGTCTTTTTGTGTGTCTGTCCACGCAGCTCTCCGTCCCACCCTGATCTGCAGCTGTGGAGGTTGCCATGGAGACAGCAGGAGGGACCAAGATTGACTTCCAGCCCCAAAGGAGATCTGGCCTCCTGTTACGTCAGCAGCGAGCACTGCTACCAGAAGCCAGGAGCATCATGGGAAAAGGCAGAGGAGACAGAAAAGGAAGGACAGGAAGACAACACTGAGCATAAGGTAACAACCTCTATCCTCAGACCCTCTGTCCGTTCATGCTCAACTGGAATAAAGTAAAATGTCCTCGTTTCTGACTTCTGAGTCTTATCCAGCCCCCCCCCCAAAAGTCTGCAGATGTCTCACACAGCATCCCAACTTAACTCCTCCCCTCCCCACCTCGCATCACCCATCCCTGCAACATGTCTAGAGATGCCGTCACTCTCTGTGTCACATGTTCATGTTCCGTGGATGAGATGGACTCTGTCCTCTGACTCTGTCCTCTTACTCTGTCCTCTTACTCTGTCCTCTGACTCTGTCCTCTTACTCTGTCCTCTTACTCTGTCCTCTGACTCTGTCCTCTTACTCTGTCCTTTGACTCTGTCCTCTGACTCTGTCCTCTGACTCTGTCCTTTGACTCTGTCCTCTGACTCTGTCCTCTGACTCTGTCCTTTGATAACCAATAGCAGATGTAATGTGCAGATCGAATGGTCAAAGATTCCTTCACAGAGTCAGACCTTCCCGTGAGGCCGTTCTTCAACACCACTTAAAAAAACCAAAGCTCACAGAAGCTGCACTTCAGCCTCACAGCTCTGAACAGATCCTGCTGTTGCTATGAGACCACTGAAAACCGTCTCGCTGGTGAATGTGGAACTATATTTATCTCCGAGTGTTGTGTTGAACGAGCCCGAGCACAACGATGCAGCTCCACTGTCGAAATGGTGTCAACATGAAAACAACACATTGTGAATTCAGTTTTCTCTCCGTGTGTTTGTAGGAAATCAAGACTGAAGACACCGACACCACGACTGATGATAATGAAAACACGTTGACACACACGGACACGCTCGGCAGCATCAACATTAAAACAGAAAAGCACACACACTCAGACTGCGAGGAAAACACACACACCTGGACACACACACCCGAGCCCCGTCCAGGGACAGAGGCCGAGTGTCAGCTGAACCTGCTGGAGCATGTCGAGTCTTTTCACCACCAGATCAGTGCCAGGATGGATCTGATAGAGCGAGAGCTGGACGGTAACACACGCACACACACACACACACACACACACACACACACACACACACAATCATGACGTCTCAGCCTGTTTCTACATCATCAAATATCTAATTAAAACCAAAAGGATCAGAAACGACCTGAAATGACAGAAACCATCTTTGACAAACGGTTATTTTACGTCTAATCTGCTAACATGGAGGAGGCAGGGTTTATACTGCAGCCAGCCACCAGGGGGTGATCGAGCTGCTTTAGAGTCTGTGATGAAGGGTGGGACGATGGGAGTTGTAGTCTTTATTGCTTTGAGCTCCTTCACAGTTGATGGTTTTGACTCAACTGGAAGAAAAACAACGCTGACACATGCACAACAGAGAAATGACGCCACAGACACCAAATTAAGAAAATCTCCCCCCCCCTCCCCTCCCCTCTCTCTCCCTCCCCCTCAGTGTTAGAGTCCTGGTTGGATCACTCAGGTGAGCTGGAGCCTCCCGACCCTTTGTCCCGACTCCCGCAGCTCAAGCAGCGAATGAGGCGGCTGCTGCGTGACCTCTGCACCGTGAGACGCCTGTCGGTCTGCCGCTGACCCACTCCCTCATCTCCGACCCCTGACCTTGGACCCTGTACGTCAAACCTGGCCAATGGGAGCAAAAGGGACAGACAGACAGACAGACTGGGCCAGCGCTCGACAGGACGTTGAGAGCGTCGCAGGGCGTGTCGCTCTGAGGATTGTCTCCACTCAGTCGCAGGACACGCCTCCTCTAGTGGTCGCTCTGCAGGGCGACGATTTTCTGACGTGACTGAACAGGAGATTCTTAAATTTCACAAAGGTACAAGAAACATTTCCTGGACCGCCTCCAGCTCGACTCCACGCTGCGTCATCGCACAGGCTGTGGTGACGACAGGTTTTAACAGTGATCGATCAACTTCAGGAGCGATAATGTTTTTGAATGTTTGTGTTACAGCTGAGTTTAGACTGAAAGTTATATTACATCATTTTAAACTTCCTGTTGTGTATTCAACTGCTGACACACACATGCTTTTATGAAAAGAGGGTTCAGTCAGATAATTTCCACAGTGATGATTTTATCAGTTTGACATTTCTCAGTTCAGAGGTTTTTGTAATTTTAGTAAAATAAGTAAGTTTTCTTTTCTTTTTTTTTTTACTTAAAAAGTCGAATATTTAGCTTTTTATGTGAAAAAGAAAATGTTTTTTTCAGAGGTTTTCAAGTTTTAAGGTTGTAAAGGTTTGGTGAGCACTCCAGCTCATGGACAAAGAGAATCATATTCCCTCTGAAGAACATGTTAACAGCTGAGTCTTCTCAGCATCCTCGACCCGTTTTCATTAAAACCAGCAAAACGTTCCTCCATCGCAACACAAAAATGTGTAAAATGTAAATATGTTGAATTGAATGTTTGATAGAAGAATTTAACTGTATAAAGCCGCAGAGTTATTTTGATAGAACGAAGTTTGGAGAATTTGAGGAACGAAGTTTTAATTTCAAGAAAAAAGTCGAATTGAAACTTTTCCTACGATGTGACTTCTGATTATTTTCTGAAAACGTCTCCAGTGTTTCCTTTGACAGTGACGCTGAGGAACTCCGATCTTCTTCTCTTCAGTTATTTTAAATTTGACGCTGTTTGATTTAACCTGTCTCAGATGATCCTCATCAACATACGAGTCTGACTTCACCACATTATTAGGAACCTACAGTTTCATCCTCCTGAAACACGAACACACATTTGTATCAGTTCATGTGAGTTGATGAGGATCATCTTTTCTCTGAGGTTCTCAAGCTTTGAATAAAATGATAAAACTTGTGTAAAATGATTCACTATGTGAATGTGTCACATTTAGAAAAACTCAGGTTCATGATGCTCCTGGCTTCTTAGGTCACAGAACTCGACCCAACTTCATCCGCTACAGACAAAATAATATACATTTTAGAAATGATCAATACTTTTGTTCATATTTTCTTGGAACATCTCTTTTCCTTATGTCCTGCTGCCTAGTGTATTCAAGATGTTATTTACTCTGCCTGATCCCATTAGTGGATTGAGCTTCTCTGTTTTAACAATGGTCCTGCGATGAGTTTGTGTTTAAACATCTGGAAAAGCACCAACACGTTTTCTGTCATGTTTTTGTCTTCATGTGACGATGAGTGCGTCCGAACTGTCCAGAAATGTACCTCCAGGTTTTCTTTGATGTGTCAGTGTTGAGTTGTGTTTCTTTACTGTTCTCAGTGTTTGTGCTGTTGTGTTGCTTATGTTGTGTAATGTAGACAGATGGTCTCACTGTGTGTTCACAGACCACCAGGACACAACCTTATGTTCGCTCTGTGCGTGTGCGTGCGTGCTTTGCTCATGTTCTATCACTGGTTCCAGGACACTGGTGACATCATTGATGTTTACACAAAATCCCATGACAATCGATCCATCCAGAGTCTCTCACACTGTTTGTTGACCTCCTTCCATGTATTCCTGTTTGGTGACCTGCAAACCACCGGTCACCTCAAACTACTTCTCCAGTGTAAAGTTGATCATTAATGAAGATCACATGACTTCATTAAAACACAACCATGTGGCTCGATCACGAGACTTTCCATCAGCCCTACACCAGAGTGGACTGGAGCTCAGAGAGCAGGGACAAGAACCTCTGAGTGTCACTGAAGCACAAAGGAACAGAAACCTTGGACCTGAACTTCACAGAGAACTTCTAAAACAAATCTCCAGAGTCTGCACGAACCTGAAGAACACACAGACTCACACAGACTCACACAACAAGATCTGATCTGGTAACTGGGCCTGAACCTACTTTGTGTATAAATCAATACTTTGAGTTTGAAGTAGCATGAAGTATAAATACTCAGATCACCCAGCAGTACTCCAGTGTGTCAGCGTTACTTCTTCTTCTGTGGTAAACTCGGCCCACTGACGCCTGCTGTGACGTCACGGCGGAAGCTGAGACTCGTTGTTTACGTTGACGTGGCCCCGCCCCCCCTGCTCCTCGTGCTGCCGCTGACACAGAGCGCTCCGCCCCGACCGTCAACTAACCCGCACTAACTAACTAACTAACTAGTCGTTACACGGACGACTCGAGTCCAGCACCGGGAGCTAACCGCTAACGGCTAACGGCTGCCTGACGGTGAGTAGTTAACGTGTCTGTCACGGAATGCTAACCCGGTGACGGCTAGTTACCTGGTTAGCCTGCTAACAGGTTAGTTAGCTGCTCGGCTAATCGTGAGCGAATGTGGAAGTTAGCTTCGGGTGATAAAGATCCTCGTGTCGTGTATGGCGCCGGTGGGTTGTGTTACAGGTGTGTGTGTGTGTGTGTGTCTGTGTGTGTGTGTGTGTCTGTGTGTGTGTGTGTGTGTCTGTGTGTGTGTGTGTGTGTGTGTGTGTGTGTGTGTGTGTAACTAACGAGCTCTCCCGTAGCAACCGTTGCTAAGCCTAAACTGTCTGTCTGCAGCTTCTATTAGCATCTCAGCTCATTAATTAGGCAGCTCACTGATTTCTGTGTGTGTGTCTGTGTGTGTGTGTGTATATACACATATATGTGTATATATATATATATATATTCTGTGTATATATATATTCTGTGTGTGTGTGTGGGCGGACAGCAGAACCACCAGGACACTCAGTTCATCACAGAAACAACCTCAACTCACGATTATTGTCACGTCACCAGTGACTCTGACACAAGATGGTGGATAATGATAATAACAGTTAATTGCAGAGGAACAAAATGTGCGTTAGATGTTTTATCTCCGTCACCTTGTGTTATTGAGTTTTACAGTCCGTGGTCGTGTAGCAGGTAGAGCCCGGCTGATTCAGGTACACCGGTAACAAGTAAAATAATCATCAGGTATCAATATGTTAGCAGATGTAGTGTGAGAGGTCAGGTCTGAAACTCTGAGAGCACATTCAACATCTCTGACATTGTCTCTTAAATCTGGAAATAAGAAATATCTTAAATCAGAAGAAGACGAGTCATATAACAAGAAGAGGAAACATTCAGTGTAAGTATAATATTGTGTATCCTGAGATATTAGATTTGTCTGGCTGTATTCTCACACAGACTCAGTTTCACATTTTACTCGGAGGCTGCAGGAAAAGTTTTAATGTCAGTGAAATGTTGAGTTCATGTCTGGAAGCAGCTTTAAAGAGCTGTGGTTTTCAGCTCCATTATAACAGAAGCCACGTTTGTTTCTCATGTCTGCACCGACAGACTCACTTTAACACAAACCTGTTTGTTTTCTGTGTTAAACTCTCGTTCCTTGTTCTGCCTTTGTTGAAGTTCTGCTGTGTGTGTGTGTGTGTGTGTGTGTGTGTGTGTGTGTGTGTGCGTGTGCGTGCCCTGACCT